AATTCAATAAGGCTGTACAGATTTTTAGGGTCTAAATTTTAAAAATTAGCGCAATAGATTTTTAGACAATCTAATTTCAAGACAATCTAATTGCAGGCCAAACGAATTGAATGCTAAGATGATACGCAAGATAGATTAGGTTTACATACCTGGCCGGTGGATTGTGAAAGTGATGCTGAAGGACTGATGCAGACTGATGTAGGCCGGAGGAGATGTGCGCCAGAGAGATGAATGCTATGCGTGCGCCAGAGATAGAACGCGATGGTGCGCCATAGAGATGAGCGATTCCAGGGCTAGAGAGCACGCAGACGGCAGAACGAGTGAGAATGGATCGATAGATTAGGTTTAAAGATTTTGGTTTGAGGAGATGAATTATTAGGCGAATAATGGAGCGGAGAATGAAAACTTAAGCGCGGGATTAGATTTTTAGTGAATTAGAATAAGCGGGCTTAGATTTTTTAAGGTGATTAGGGATTAATTTTAGAATTTCAATTACTAAAGTGCAATTAATTTAATAAATTAAATACATTTTCTTAAATTAAGTTTATATAATTGATTTGGCACACTTAATTATGTGGGTACATGAAATTATTTATAACAACTCTTTTAAGTGTTAAATTTTATTGCCACACTTAGTCAAGTGTGGCAAATTAAATGCGGCAAAACTCATAATTTCTTGTAGTGGTCCCTCTTCACCAAAAAAATAAACAGAAAATAGTAAGAGTGTTCTTTGTACAACGTTTTGAAACCATGGGATATTGGAAACAAGTTTTGAAAAAAAGAAAGATTATTGATGCCAATTTTCCAAATCATAGGGACCTGGAGCTATTTCACTCGCACCTTGTTAAGTTTCAAAACAATTGTGATAACGATTTTCATATTAAACTCATTGCGAGGATGGGACTCATTGCTAGTATCTTTTAAAAAAAAGGCAAATAGCGCTGGTACCCATTGTTAGACAATAATATTAAGTATTCCTAGTTATGGTAGAAGTTATATTTTAGTTAGTTTCCATTCTCTATTCCTAGTTGTGTTAGGAGTCTCTTCTATATATACTCTATCATGTACTTCATAATTCAAGGAGCAATATTATTATTCCAATATTTCAACACCCCTCGTGCTTTGCAAAACAAGCACCAATACCCCATCTGTTTTCAAAACTCATTTCTAAAGTCCCCGTGGTTTCAAAATGCTGCACCCGTGCCCCCTCTGATAATTTTCCAACCATTTTTCCGGCGAAGAGGGGGGCATTGGTGCATGTTTCTTAAACCATAGGGGGTGTCAATGCTTTTTTTTTGCATATTTTTTTGTTTTTTCCATTTTTCCATTTTTTGTTTCATTTATTAACAAAGGTTTTTTAAAAATTATTTTTATAATGTTGCTTAAAATTTAAAGTTACTTTTGTTAGAAAAAAATAAGATATAATGCATATGAATGTCTCACATTAACAATTTTTGTTTTTACTGAAAAAACGTAAATTTTTTGAGGAATGAGGAATAAAATAAGAAACAAAATAATACAAAAATAAAAATGAATATCCTTTTTGGACATGTTAATTCTAAGAACTTTTTTAGGCGTGTCTAATTTTTTTTTGTATAAGACTTTTTTGCGTGTTATAATTTTTTCATTTTGTTTTTCCATATTTTTATTTTTTTATTCAGGATTTTTTTGAACTTTCCAAAAAATTATTCTAAGTAACAAAACGTGAAAATGTTTAATTTGAAATAAATTTAATGTATGTTAATTTATTTTTATTTTTATTTCAAACACGGAATTTTAAAATTTTTGAAACATTATAAAAATTGAAAATATATTTTAAGAAAAATCTAGGAAAAGAAAAAAGAGATAGAAAATATTTTTAAAAAGGGAAGAATAATAAACGAAAATAAGAAATGAGCATGAATGCCCCTTATGGTTTAGAAATTATGCGCCAATGCCCCCTCTTCACCGGAAAATGGCCGGAAAATAATAGGAGGGGTGTGGGTGCAACATTTTGAAACCAAAAGAACTTTAAAAATAAGTTTTAAAAACAAAGGAGATATTGGTGCTAATTTCCCAAACCACGAAAGCTATTTGGCCTTTAAAAAAAATAAGGGAAAAAATAAGTTAACGCCCAATACAAGGTTGCATTCGAATGGGGTAGCACAGACGATGATAAGCCTATATCTTCCCGCTCCCTCCAACCTCGCCCCTTCCCCTTCGATCAAACCCAGAAGTTGTTCTATCCAAAAGCCCGCTTCTGTTCGGTACCAAAAAACCACTGATTTTGAAACTCTCAAAGACCGTTTGATTCGCCAGGCCAATGCAGGGAACATCCGCAAAGCAATTTCGACACTTGATCTCATTTCCCGGATGGGTTTCACCCCAGACCTCACCTCATATACCGTCCTCCTCAAATCCTGCATCAGAACCCGAAGCTTTGAACTCGGTAAGTCAATCCAGTCCAGACTCGCTGGTTCTCCGCTCGAACCGGACTCTATTGTTCTCAACTCACTTATAAGCCTGTACGCCAAATGTGGAAAATGGGAAACTGCAAAGGAAATTTTCGAATCAATGGGTGCTCAGAGAGACTTGGTTTCGTGGAGCGCTATGATTTCGTGTTATGCTCATTGTAATAGGGAACTGGAGGCCGTTTCCACATTCTTTGAAATGGTTGAAATGGGGGAGTACCCGAATCAGTTCTGCTTCTCCGCAGCTATTAAAGCTTGTGCTAATCCAAGGTACGGTTGGATTGGGCTGGTGATTTTCGGGTTTGTGCTCAAAACTGGGTATCTTGATTCTGATGTGTGTGTGGGATGTGCAGTGATTGATTTATTTTCTAAAGGGCATGGCGACCTAGAGGCCTCCCAGAAGGTGTTTGACGAAATGCCTGTGAAGAACTCGGTTTCCTGGACTCTCATGATCACTAGACTATCTCAGTTTGGCTATCCACGAGATGCTATTGTCCTGTTTGAAGAAATGCTTTCGGCTGGTTTCATTCCAGATAGTTTCACTCTTAGTAGCATATTATCATCTTGTGCTGAACTGGGGTGCCTATCATTAGGGCAGCAGTTCCATTGTTGGGTGGTGAAATCTGGTTTGCAAATGGATGTTTGTGTTGGTTGCAGTTTGGTCAACATGTACTTCAAATGCTCTACGGATGGATCCATGGACTATTCAAGGAGGGTTTTCGATCGAATGCTTGATCATAATGTTATGTCGTGGACTGCTGCAATTACAGGATATGCACAAACAGGAGGCGATAGGGAAGCTATTGACTTGTATTGCATGATGATAGAAACCCGAGTGAAACCTAACTATTTTACATTTTCTAGTCTTTTGAAGGCATGTGGAAATCTTAGGCGTCCTGATATTGGCGAGCAGATTCATACCCATGCAGTAAAACTAGGTCTTGCGGCTGTGAACTGTGTGGCGAACTCTCTGATTAGTATGTATTCCAAATCCAGTAGGATGGAAGATGCCAGGAAAGCTTTTGAATTACTCTTTGAAAAGGATTACATTTCATACAACATAATCGTTGATGGCTACGCCAAGAACATGGATTCCTCCAGAGCAATTGAACTTTTCAACCAAACCGAAGAGTCTGGAGTTGGACTTGATGCTTTCACCTTTGCAAGTATCTTGAGTGCTGCTGCAAGCATAGGAGCAGGTTCCAAGGGGGAAGAACTACACGCGCGGCTGCTAAAATTAGGGTTCCACTCCAATCATTCTGTCTGCAATGCTTTGATCTCAATGTATTCCAAATGTGGTAACATAGAGGCTGCTCTTCAAGTCTTCAACAAAATGGAAGCCAGAAACACAATTTCCTGGACTTCAATGATAACAGGTCTTGCAAAACACGGATTTGCCAAGAGAGCTTTAGATTTGTTCGGGCAGATGCTCGGTTCAGGTGTGAAACCAAATGAAGTCACCTACATCGCCATTCTATCAGCTTGCAGCCATGTCGGGTTGGTAGATGCCGGATGGAAGCACTTCAACTCAATGTCCAAAGAGCACGGGATCAGTCCAAGGATTGAGCATTACGCATGCATGGTTGATCTTCTTGGAAGATCAGGAAAGCTTGAAAAGGCAGTTGAGTTCATCAAATCAATGCCTTTCGTCCCCGGTGCCATTGTCTGGCGCACATTGCTTGGAGCTTGCCAGGTTCATGGAAACATAAAGCTTGGAGAACACGCAGCCAAAATGGTTCTTGAGTGGGACCCAGACGATCCAGGAGCACATGTCTTGCTGTCAAACTTACATGCGTCCACTGGAAACTGGGAAGAAGTCGCACAAATCAGAAAAGAAATGAAAGAACGAAAACTGGTGAAAGAAGCCGGTTGTAGCTGGGTAGAAACTGAAAACAGGATGAACAAGTTTTATGTAGGAGATACTATGCATCCACGGGCAAAGGAGATATATGAAGAATTGGATCGACTGGTTGTGGAAATAAAGGCATTGGGATATGTCCCAGACACAAACATGGTACTCCACGAGGTGGAGGAGGAACAACATAAGGAGCAATATCTGTATCAGCACAGCGAGAAGATAGCAGTGGCTTTCAGCCTCATTAGCACATCCAAGCAGAAGCCCATTCGGATATTCAAGAATCTCAGAGTGTGCAAGGATTGCCATACGGCAATGAAGTACACGTCAGTTGCAAGAGGTCGAGAAATTGTGGTGAGGGATTCCAATAGATTTCACCATTTCAAAGATGGGGTTTGCTCTTGCAACGATTATTGGTAGATGGTAATGCATTCCAATAGATTTCACCATTTTCATCGTACCTCGTACCATACACTTTCTGAAAATGTTTGTGGATTTATTTGAATATATTGTGCTTCTGTAATGCACTCTAGATGCCTAAATCTAAGAAGTCATGGACCCTTTTCACCTTCATTAGACTACTCGATCTACTCAGAGGGGAAGAACAAATTTATCATAATCCTAACCCATATTACACTACTCAACCTACTACTCATTACACTAAGAGCTCCATTGTCTTCAATGGAGCTCTTAGATTTCAGGAGAGAATCCAACTTCAAAACAACACACAGAAATGGACAGTGGTGTGACCTCTCTCTACTGCACGAAGATTGTGTTCTTGTGTATGCACTGCCTCTCTTGTTTTTCTCTCGTTTGTGCTTTGTCAATTCTCTCGGTTGCAAGACTTATAAACCCTACATGATAGAGACATGAGAAAAAGATTAAATTAAGAGTAAAACATAAAAATATATCAAAATAAGAGTTTCATATTTTTATTTCCAGAATAAGAGTTAAAATACATTTACAATGTGAATCATGCCAATATATAATATCAAAATTCAAAAAGTATTGTAAAATGTTTATATTCACTGGCACATTAATACATTATCACAGTGCAAACTCGCATTTTGTGAATAAAAATACGGAACTCTTATTTTGGTACTTTGTCTATGTTTTACACATATTTAGAGTGAATTCTTTATATATATTATTAGGATGACGGACATGATGATATAGCTCTATGGTAGTCAAACCAGCTAACAGCCAAACAATGAAGACATTTGTTTGTCATAAAATAGACATATTTGTTTGTCATAAAATAATGTCAACATCAGTTTACAAGAACTAACTATGCATTCATTTAATTTATACCGACTCATTTTGAACCATCACGAATAAAAGAATATTTATTAAACGGAAAAATTATCTTGAATAATCTCATCTTCACTCGATATTTTAAAAATAATCTAATCTTTCACTGTGATTCATAATAATCTTAACTTTACCAAACTTACAAGTTTTGGTTCGCTTTTAAGTTGCTAACGGCGGGTTAACGAAAACGGCCTGTTTTGTGCAACAAAATGAAAGTTGAGATTATTTTTTATGAATTTTCATTTTTCATTTTTTTAATTTTCATTTAAATTTTTAAAATTACTTTTTACCTCCACCATTTCTTTTTTTAAGTTTAGTCTTACTTTTAAAAAATAAAAATAATAGATATAAAAAATAACGTAAATGAGGAAAGTAACTAAACTAATACAAAATTAATAAAATAAAAAAGATAATCAATAGAAGCTAACTTGACACTGGTAAGAAATAAAATAAATACGGATGGGGGTTTTAATATTTTAGGCACTATAAAAAGTATTAATGTAGCACATCTTTTTTTTCTAGAAAAAATTTATCTCGAATAATAATAACTTTATCGACCAGCTTGTTCTTTCAAAAAATAAGTAATACAATAAGGTTATGTATATTGCATGAAATGTTATAACCCACCACTCCATATATATTTAATTATTTATTATCAGTTTCAGCTTAGTCTTTATTTATTACCTTAATTATTTCAATAATTTTGTATGACTTTAGTTAATCCTCTCATTTTCATTATTTTTGATACTCCATTTGTTCTTGAGTATTTGTCCACTTTTGACTTTTTCGGTCAAAATTAGTGAACTCTGACTTCAAATTAAATAAAAATGATACTCCGGTATTAAATATTGATAAAAAAAATAGTTTTATTAGATTTATCAAATCAAATATTTTCAAAATATTATTTTATCTAATTAATAAACAATATATATTTTATTTAATTATCAAAGATTGAAAATAGTTGACCGAAAAAAGTCAAAACTGGACAAATCCTCAGGGATAGAGGTACTCTATATTTTTTTTATTTTTTTTCTAAGGTAAGACTAATCTTTAAAAAATGAAAAAGAAATGGAAGTAGAAAGTAATTTTAGAAATTTAAATAAAAAATTCAAAAAAATAAAAATAAAAAATTTATCAAAAATAATCTCAACTTTCATTTTGTTGCGCAAACATTCTCGTTAACCCGCCGTTAGCAACTTAACGGAGATCCAAAACTCGTGAATTTCAGTAAAGTTTGAATTACTATGCATCACAGTAAAAGATGAAATTATTTTTGATAGACTAGGTAACGTTGAGATTATTTTCGATACTTTTTCCTTACTAGTTTTTTTAACCCCTGCCATGCACGGGGCAAAACAAAATTATTTTTCATACTATGAATTTCCTTCAAATTTTTAAGATTATGTTCTTTTGAATCCTACTCTGCAATTCTTAGGACCTATTTGGTAGAAAGAAAAATACTTTTCTAGAAAATTATAGTTATAGAATCGAAGTTTATTTTTTACTCAATCCTCAAATACTTTAATGCCTCGATCGAGTTCATCCCTTCCCCCACACCCCCATC